CAAAGGTGTTGTGCATTAACAAAAGCTTTTAATCATTGTATAACATCTGTTAAAATCATTTGTAGATTTTCAAGATGTGCATGATCATATTAATTAGAAGTTTAATGACATTTGTAAGCATTTTAATTTACATGAAATGTTAATTATTAGGTAATGTTTAATGCATTTATTAGTAAACATTAACAAGCACATTATTTCACATTTAAAGATATGTGAATATATATGAAGTAATGATCCGTTAAGCATTACATAATGTTTGTTAATAATTTATTAATGAAAGTTATTATAAAGTGTTAACAAGATAACAGGCTTGTACTAATAGAGGAATGTTTATTTGCAAAGGCTAGCACGGGGGCCCGTTCTTCGTACCTTGCTTAATAGATCTGAGATGATTTGAAAAATGCCAGATCTTCTAATTGTGATAACTGATCTCTGGCTAATTTGGTTCTTCAAACAAATTTGTGGATTTGATTAAAATATCTTGATTAAGTTGTCTAAGATTTTTGCGCATTCTCGTGTTCTCAGAAAAGGGCAGATGTATCGATACTCAAAACCACGATCAGCAATGCAGCGATTGGCTGGCGGCAAGACAGCAACGTAATGACATTATATAATTAAAAAAGACACCTGACGAGAAACTTAACAAATTTCTGGACTTTTATAAGGAAACAGCCTAGCAAACAAAACTGCATAAATGGTATAATAGATAAATGAAATGTGCACTCTTTTTATTTTATTTAAAATTACATGATTCCAGATTATATATATTCACGATTTATAGTATTTGTAAAGGCTTTACATTTTTATTTTGATGTTGTAATTAACTATTCATTTAATTTTATCTTTGAAACAGATTTGTTAAGTGACAGCATTAATTAAAGTTACTTAAGGGTCAAGATCAAGTTTTCTGCATCTCCTGCGCTCCATCAAGCCACTCCCACAATAGCTGTCACCACTCAAATTAATGCACGGCTCAGATTAACTGTATAGCATGTGTGTAAGACTCCAATACAGTTATAAAGTAATTATTTTATCATGAATAAATATATAAATGAGTAAAACATTAGCATATTATTTTTCAATAAATTTTTCAATTTTTATTATTTTAAATTAGTCAATAAGGTCAGTAAGGTACTCTTCTAATAAGGTAGCAGTGGCTGGGATATATTTTAAGTATCAATTCTGCTTAAAAAGATGCGATCTAATCCTGTTTACATGAAATAAACCTGCTCCCGAGCAGGTTTGAGCTTACGGACCTGTTACTATGACAGCAACTCCGAGATGAGCTTTTTAAGAACCAACCAATTCAAGATCAAAAGCGAAATCGTCAAAAATCAAATCCAGCTAACTGAGTTAGTGATGTATTAATGTTAATTATGTATTAATGGACCCCTGGTTGCCGAGCTTGAGCTCTTGAAGCTCCACCCTCTTCTGAAAGGGGGCTGGTAACACCAGCTCATTTGCATTTAAAGGGACACACACAAAAACAGACGCTAACAACCACCTGTCACCAAAGTCAAGTAATCAGACCCCAAACTTGAAAGATCTTTTTGCTGAAATTAGCAAAGTGAATGCTGCTTTGCAGTGGGTAGAAAATTATGTGATCTCTATTAAAGCCACTACTACAGAACTTAAAGAAGCTACTGTATTAGCTCCATACAGGCCAGACTCGATGAAGCTGAGAATCGCATTTTGCACGTGGAAGATATATAGAATCGTCTGACTGGTGACACCGAGAGGATGGTGAAACTTGTGGATGAACTCTGGAATAAAACCGAGGATTTGGAAAATCGCAGTTGACGGAAAAACATCAAATTAATCAGCCTTAAAGAGGGGAAAGAAGCAGGCTACAAAATTAACGAGTATGAACTAAAGTTCCTGTCAGAGGGGCTCGGGTTAAAATGGGAGGAATTCAAACTGTCCTTTTTTGAGGACATGTCAAGAGAGAGATCAATGAAAAAATTCTCTGCAGTGAAGAAGTTACTCTGGGACCGCGAGGTTCGACATACCCTGGCTCATCCAGCGACTCTTAGGTTTACTTGGAAGGGGAAAAAGCAGAGTTTCACAGATCACATGAAAGCCGAAAGATATATAAAGGACAGTGTTGGGCAAGTTACTCTGAAAATGTAATGAAATGACTGATTACTGATTACTCCTTTTAAAAGTAATCACGTTACTGTTCTGATTACTTAATTTCAAAAGTAATTAGTAATTAGATACATTACTAGTTACGTTACTTTTTTCTCCATTAAATTTATGAAATCCCAGCATACACGCTCCCGATAAATATTTGTTATTAAAGCATCAACATCCACAGAACACTGTTATTTTTAAATAAAGCAAGCGGCTGCTGAATGCCAGCAAAGAGCGCTGCCTGCATTTATAATCTCTAAAAGACATCTCAGTTCATCGCAATCTCACAAATCTCTGTTATAACACAATAAATATATGCATAATGAATATTTCATAATGTCTACAATTTGTGTGTTATAATGAGAAGATTTGTGAGCATGCAAATTTCAGCACTGCATTGCTAAATGCTGCAAACACGTGTTATAGCCTAAATAGAAACTCTGCATACGCTCGCACCTGTTAATCGTTTATATATTATGTAAGTGACCACTAGAGGTCGCTAGAGGTAATTCATTCAAAGTCAGGTCATTTATGTGATTGGGTTTGAGGCTGTGAGCCCAGAAACCTGTATAGCCGATCAACAGTTTCACTCGTCAGATTTCTCTCGTCTCAGAAGCTCAGTGACATATGTAAATTAACACAGGTCATGTAATCCTGGTGCTGTTCACTGTAACTTTAAGTAGTTATATAATTCTCTTTTTCACGTTGTTTTGTTAAGTTGCTTTGTCTTGTGTCCACACATTTGTGTGCTGTGTAGCCCAGAGACCATCAAGCTAGCGGCTAACTTAGGAAGCAGCAAGTTTAAAGTTTGCACCCTTGGTAAGCGGAGCGAGGTGTGTATTTTTTAGTTCCATGTTTAAGAAACGGAAAATCTTTAATGATGTAAAATGTCTACATTGACTGTTTCTGGAACTTGTTTGTTGTGTATCTTGTACCAGTACGGTTTCATGTGTTAAATGAGCAAATTATTGTTTATGTGTTATTATTTTAAATGGCTTTAAAGGTCATTTAATGTGCATTGCATATATACAAATGCATGATGATGCACTGTAAAAGGTGTAAGGATTTATTTGTACATTTGTGTTATGCCAAAGGCTTATTAAATTACCTTTAAAGTCATTTAAAATAATAACACATAAACAATAATTTGCTCATTTAACACATGAAACCTTACTGGTACAAGATACACAACAAACAAGTTCCACAAACAGTCAATGTAGACATTTTACATCATTAAATATTTTCCGTTTCTTAATATGCATTGCATATATACAAATGCATGATGATGCACTGTATAAGGTGTAAGAATTTATTTGTAAATTTGTGTTATGCCAAAGGCTTATTAACCAGCTATTTGTGTGTTTACTTCTAGTTTTCACGGTGCTTATGCTGGTTCCAGAATAATAAAACCGATTGCACCCGTTAGAGACTCTCTGCCTCATATTAAGGAAGCCAAGGGCTGCGACATATTATATTAGTTAATGTTGCTTTTGTGCAATAGATGAATAACAATTTATTTGTTTTAGATATTTTATGTTTAGATATTTCTATTTTGCGGGAGTCCCGTGAATCATTTTATTCTCCCGCATCCTGCACACACACACGAGTGTCTAACAGCCCGCACCAGCACTCACCTATCAAGTCTTGTCCAGCACCGCACTCTGTTGCGTCGGGTCTCGCGGGAGCAGGTCTCTAATCCACTGGCACTTGACTTGACAGTGCGCGTTCTACATCCTTTTTACAATCTCTAGATTATAGAGATCTAGAGCATCATGGACCAAAATGTATGACCAAGAAGTGGGTTTGCTGCCCCTTAAGGGTAGTATTTTAAGTTTACATTTTTCTATTTTGTGTTTCACGCATGTTTTTCAAGGTTCTGTTGTTCACAAAAATGTTGGAAGTTTGGTCGTTGGTTTTCTATCAGAAATGACTGTGGATCAGTGGCGTGCGGTGGTGTTTTAAAATGAGGAGGCAGTTGTATATGTAAATATATATTTATATATAAATATTACATAAAAAAGAGAACAAATATAATTCTATTTTGTCTTTTATTAATATAATTGTTTTAATTTAATATTTTAATACTAATTATACATTTCATAGTGTTTTTATGCATTTCTATATTTATTCCAAAATAATAACTAAAGGCAGTAACAATTTGAACAATATTCAGGAAACAGTTTACAATAAGGTTTCCTTAGTTAACATTAGTTAACTACTTTAGTTAACACGAACTAAGAATAAACAATAGCCTACTTCTACAGCATTTATTAATCTTAGTTAACCCATTTGTGCCCAAATTTTTCTGAATAGTTTCATGCATATAGTCATGTTAATTGTTATGTATCCGGTCCATGAACTTCCGTCAGGGTATCAATGAACCTTTGAAGACACTATTAATCCATGAAGGTCCCCGTTCTTCTCTAAATCATTTTATTGATTATGCTCTATTGTATGTTGGTTCAGTTTTCACTGTGGGTATCGCGGAGGAACGCGACCCCGCACTCACTCGTGTAATGGTCCC